TAATAATAATAATAATAATATATATATATATATATATATATATATATATATATATATATATATATATATATATATATATATATATATATATATATATATATATAAGGATTAGGGAGGAGTTTTTTAAGCTCCGTCGAGGTTATCATGGAGTTATGGCTGCCCTTTGGCATTATCCATCAGGCAAATACAATGATATCTTGTCCATGTTATAGATACTGAGACGTTTTTGTGTTATGCTGTCCATTGTTAGCTTATATTCTCTTCATTGCTTTAATTTTACAAGATTTCATGATCTCGTCTGTTAGATATTGTAGGAATTTTATTTGAACATAGCTTTAATTTCGGTAGCCCGACACAGGTAATAAACAGATATCGGTGAGATAGTAGGAGTCAATCACGAAATTGGTGTGGAACCCTTTGTAGAAATATTTAGGTAGTATTTAGGAACACGCTGTACTTCGAGGAGCGTAATGACGGAACTGAACCCAAGTGATGACTCTCTTTTTATATATATGCTTCAGCTCTGCAAGCTGATTCTGTAAGAAAAGATAAATTCTACACCTACGCCATCTCATCCAAAAGTTTTCTACAAATGTTTTATACTGGGACTACAGTATTCCCATACAGTAAATATTACCTTCTAGTAGGCCGGAAGAAGGTTACAACAGAGCTGGTTGCAATAATTTGGCATGAGCATATAAGCTTTATTTAATATATTGGGAGCTTTCATGAGGGTGGTAGTCTCAAAAAATATGGTGCCGACTATACATCCTATTGGTCAAGAGTTTTGAAGAGTTTTGTCAACCATTAATTTAAAAAACGAAAGTCAGCCTCCGAGAGTTGGCTTCATGCTTAAAAATTCCATCACCTCCAAACTCGGAAATCTGCTGAGAGGTCATTCCGATCGCATTATCTCCCTACGCTCCCCACTACACAACAAGTAACAAGTTATTCCCTTCGGCGTATATGCCACAACTCTGCAAGCTGACTCTATGGAAAAAGACAAATTCTACACTGATCCACGCCGTTTCATTCAAAAGGTTTCCTGCAAATGATAAGGTCATAATCTTTGGTGACTTCAACGCCAGAGTTGGAAAGAACTCCGAAGCCTGGAAAGGAGTATTAGGCAAGCATAATGTTGGAAACTGCAACGACAACGGCTAGAGTTTTGTACACAGCTCAACTCACCATCACAAACACTATTTTTCAGCGACGAGAGAGCTCAAAGATAACCACAGAAGCGTTTCGCGATGTTCGTCATAATCGTGTAATGCCTTGTGTGGAGACCACTATCTTGTGTGATGAAAATATATTCTCCGTTTTTGTTTCAAACAAGTTCCATAATAAAGAAAAATATGCAAAATCATAAGTTAATGTATAGTGATGTACTAATTTGCATATGCGAAGTTGGATCGTGACTATGAAATCATCCAGTCTTTTCTGTATGAGTATAATGCATAGAACTGTATATGTTTTCATTTGTTCAGGAATGTATCTTAAAAGCCGTAGATTAATGTGCCCTAACAAAGGCCTATTCCTTATAATCTTTTTTAAAAGACCTATTTCTTATAATAAATCTATCAAACCAGTCCTTGATAGATGTACGTGTAAACCCTGCAGATAGCAGGAGGACATTTTTCCTCTCTTTTATCCTCCAAATTGGTATCTTCAAAATTCATCTTAGCGACGTTTTTAGAGTTAGCTTTATGCATAATTTGTGTTTTGTTATTTGTAATGATTATGCTACGCTAATGTTGTGTTACTTATTTAATGGATTCATTAACCCAAGTTTGAGTGGAAATAAATAAAACCTTGCACTCTGTGTAATTTTTCGTAAAATACTTCCAAAAATACAAAAAATTTCCCACTTCAATTGTTGCAAGCAGAGTTTGCATCTCTTATTTTCATGTCACTCCTTACTGAATTCCATTGCTTCATTATTTATTATTATCCTGATGGTTATTGTTGTTGCAATGCTGAAAAGGTATAGATTTAAAAATAATTATAACTTTCAATATGCAGTCGTGCATCCTTATTCATATCATCCAATGATCGATACGATATAACTTATGATTGTATCACGGTGCTTTCCTATTTTGATATTCAGTGGAGACCGATTGAAAAGAACTTAGTGAACTGTGTTAGGAAATGACTGCAATACGTCAACAAAGTTAAATTTAAATGTAAATTGAATTTTAACTATATATATATATATATATTTTTTTTTCTTAGGAAGTTTGGGTTTGG